TATAAAAAAAATTTTTGTCCCCCCCCCCCCCCCCCCCCCCCCAACCCCTGGTATTTACTTAATTGTTATTTCTAGGATGTAGTATCTCAAAATGCAGGTGGTAGGCTGTGACCGTCTCACACTATGCAGTGTTGAGGAGAATTTCACAGTAGGGCCTGCTTAGTAGACTTTGATTTGGCCATTCAATACTGCAGGAATAAAAAGCTATAATGTTGCAGTGTGTGCTGTGGGTCTACCAGATGTAAGGCTGGGGGGGCAGAATTTTGTATGAATGAACAGCAGTCAAACATTTTTAAGTATGTTATTTAAGTATGAGCAGCTGGTAAAGGATGTTATCGGTCCATGTTACAGTTTACGGCCTGGTGATTTGGTGTTGGCCTTTGGAATTGGTGACTGAGATACTGGAAATACTTCAGATTGGAAAGCAGTAGCTTTCAGCCGTAGAGGGATGTAGTATTAAGAAGTCTTTGATGCTCCTATTCTCCTTATTTGAGCATATTCTCTTTGCAGTGTAATACCTAGAAAGATTATGCTTTTTTTCCTCTTAAATATATGCCACCTCATCTGTGGCTTTGCTGAGGCTTACCAAACAGTTATCTTTTCTTTCTTCTCCTTAAAAGAAGATGATGAATTTAAGGAGATTCAGCAGCAGAAAGAAAAGGCGCTCTCCTTAGTCTGGTCTCAACATAAACCGTTCATTCTTTCTTTCTGGCTTGTGTTTGCCTAATCAGATTAGTCTTAAAATCTTTTAAGATGAGAGTCCTATTTAGTTTCCCAGTTCCTGGAAATCTGTTCTTTGCTGTTTTTTGGTTGATTTTAAGACAAGTAGCCTTTCCTTTAGCTTTATTCTTTGGCATTCTTTCCAAAGCATGCTCCAGGCACAGCAAAGAAAATGGGTGAGGACATAGACCAGAAAGAGAGCAAGTCTCCGAGCAGAAGCAAGGGGATTCTCTAGAGGCTGTTTTTTAATGCAAGGACAGAGAGCACCCCGTGACCGAATGAAGGTACACATTGCGGACTATATCCAGTAACACAGAAAAGCAGCAGCTCAAGAAGTAGCACTTGCAGAGTTGTACTCAGCAGGGGGAGATAGGTGAAGTTATATTCCAGCCTCCTAAAAGGATCCAAAGGGGAAAAAAATACCTTCAGTTTCAGAACTGCTCTGTTAACTATTACCTCTATGTCCATGGCAAGGCTACAAGTTAAAGGTCCCATCGCAGGTACATAGCAATTAGTGTAAATTTCCTGTTAAATGGGAAGGACTTTTAATTTTATGGCTGAAGTCTGCAATAACTTCTTTAATCAATAGTTTAAATGCAAGAAAATAAAACACTTTAACTGCATGTAGGACTCCAGAGCTTTGTGCTTTGTTTTACTTTTGGTTATTTGTTCTGAAGGGATTAGATTAAGTGTTTAAAAAGCTTAAATACATAGGAGGTGATTCTGCTTTCTTTTATTGTGATATAAATTTGGGATAGCTCAATTAAAGTCAATGGGTATATACAGGTATAAAACTTGTGTAAGTACTAAGAGCATAAGTCCTATAGACTAAAGAGACCAAGAGGTTACTATAAATCGGAAAGATACTGAGCACTTGTTTGTTGCATAACTGTCACTGAGTCATCAGTTTTAAAACAATGTATTATATCATTTTTATCCTTGATGTGTAGCTTTCGTGTTCACTGGGAATAGATAGATTTTCCAGAATTATGATTATGTCTTTAAATCTTTCATTTTGGTTGTGGTTGCTATGTTACAAGACAGGGATTTAGAAAAAAACTCTCTTTGCTTTGTTGGAAATTCAAAGCTTTTCAGAAGTTAAATGATGGAAAATGGGGAGGTTTTAAGACCTGATTTTTTCAGAAGACTTGAGGTTACTGCTGAGATACAGGTGTGATGGTATCACTTTGTAAATGAGGGCCATTATGTACCCCAATTAAAGATAAGGCATTAGCGTGAAGTAGGAGAGGTTTGAAAGGAAAGGCAGTGAACCATGATAGTAGGCTGCTGGAGTTACACTTTGGGAATGGTAGCAAGACTACTCTTAAGCCCTTTGACCTTCACCCGTCTTGGGTGCACAGCGAGTTCCATTAAGCTGGGCAGCTTTGTTGCCTCCCCTCGCATCAGGAACCATCTGTGGTGAAGCTTTGGTTCTCTAGCTGCATGCTGGACACTTCTGCGGCTGCAGTTGGGTGTCACAGTACAAGATTTGCCTTGATCGGAACAGAAACCTGCCGGACCGGCTCTTCTGCTTCCTCAACTGACTGTTTAGCAGGGAAATTCAGAGCAGCTGTTCAGCTTTATCAGCCAGGTTCCCTCCTAGATACCTCAAGAACACACGCTATTGTTTCTAAACTAGCAGTTTTTCTTGCCCATTTTCTTAAGCAGACTGATATAACTGTGGATTCTGGAGGTCCCCATTTGGGACATTATCTAGCTAGGGTCTGTCAGTCTTTGAAGTAGAAGATTGTAACTTCTATAACTCCTCCTGTAACTCAAACAGGATTGTCAAAACTAGAACAAGCCTATTGGGAAGGCAAAGGGAAGGGCTGAGATTTTTTTAGCTATAATAAGAGGTCTGCAAATAAATATGGGTCACAGCTAGGACTGCAACTATACTGAGTTTGCATCAGTCTAACTAGGTATTGGCACGAGTTAAAATGAGATGTTAAATCTACTGACGTTTGAAATTGTCATCACCGACAGGTTTTGGCATAAGGATCACAAGAGTACACTAGACCAACTTTGATCCAAATATATAACGTCCCTTCCACTTCCTGAGTTATCACACTCTTCACCCTTTGGGGATGGTGAACGGGGTGGCTGGATGGTATTGGCCTCTTAGCTTAACGATGGAAGTTTCTGGTACAGTCTCCTCTAACAACAGAATGTCCGTAGTGGCATTGGTGGCTTTGGTCATCTTTGTTCAGCTAGAGAAATTAGTCACATGGTAAAACCACTGTGGATATTGCTAATAATTTGCAAGTACTCGCTTGAGGTTGCCAAAGTTACAAAACCCCCCAAGTATTTGCCGGCCAGTAATCTTGTTTTTTTGCTAATGGCTATTAACAAGCTTCTGATTAAATATAAATAGAAATTATGCAGTCCCTTTCTCTTCATTAAGAAGTTTTAATTCTCATTGTCTTTAGTGTAGTCCATAGATGGGCAAACTAATACCAAGTATTGGCCATGCTACTTAAAGCCCTGCAAAAAGTCTGCCACAAAGCTGTCTGAGATCGCTGCGTCTGTCTGGAAATGTCTTGCATTAGGTTTCCAGCTCAGTGGGATAGCAATCCCTTGGATACGTTTCTGGTGTAGTGGGCTTGTTAATGGCCGTGAAAATGTGTACCTTTTAAACAACTAATGCTTGGGGGTCAGGATTTGTTACCGGAAAGCTCTGGACAGCTGAGGATATGTCCAGCTGGGAAAAGCAAGATGGGCTGATGGGGCTGAGGCTTTAAGCTGTTCACAGCAGAGCAGGTGCTGGCTGGAGCACCTGATAGCTGTTCATTAAAGACTGCTCTGTGCTGTAGCACAGTATCCAGTTACTCTGTGAAAATATCTAAAGGGATTTTTTTTTTCTTTTTTCAAGATTCAGGGGCTGATGAAGTTTAATTATCTCTGAGCTGAGATTTAGTTATTTTGCATAATTTTAATCACTGATGGCCTAATTTTCATAGGTGTTAACTCCCACAGCTCACGCTGAATAGGAGAAGCAGGTGCTCACACCTCTGGAAATGAGTCTTTAGGATCACGAGTTCACAGCTGACTACCTAAGCCGGATACTGATAATCAGTTTTTCCTTAGTCAATTATTGTTTTAAGTAATACTTCCCTAAAACAACTATTTCCATGGCTGCAGAAAGATGCATGTATTCTATATTTAAGCTTCTAGTTTTGAAAGTGTAGATCTGAAGAGCACAATGTCCTTAAGTGGTGTGGAGGAGGAATCCTCTTCACCCAGTGTTTGATGAAGAGCACTTTTCATTGCCTTTATGATAAGAGGAAGGTTGCTTTTAACAGGCCCAAGAAATGTGATTAGGAATTCCCAGAAGGAACTACTAGAAGAAAAAATTCATGGCTGTGCTTTATATGTTGTGGGACTTCAAGTGTTCCATGCTTGTCATGTGAAAAGTGTATTCTTCATCGTTTTCCCTGTTGGTAATAAACCCTATGAGCATATCCAAATTTGCACATGATACTGTATACTATTTAAGAGAACATGATAGCTCATCTGAAAAGTACCCGTAAATTAAAATTAATTGGCAATATTCACAAGCATCTTCCATGAGTATGTTAAAAAATTCCTAAGTGCATTGTGGCTAGAAATCATTGTTACACCCATATTTACAACATAAGAAGTTAAGAGAACACTGATGTGTGCTCAGGCAAACTAATGTATGTATTTTTCGTGTAATTTTGGGATGCATGTTTCCTTGCCATAGCTGTAGTCAGGAACAGATTCTTGCTATGGAGAATACATAGAATTAAAATGAGGAAGGCGTTTTCTTCAGAGGCGCCCCATTGTGCTTGAGCTTATGGTGATCAGTCAGGAGGTTAACAAACATACGTAGTTTTAACGACTGTGGATCTGCTGTAAGAGGAGAGAGTGTTTGTCTTGAGAATAAAAGAAGGAAATTATTTTACATAGTTTACATTAAACAAGACCCAAAGATTGTATGGAAAAAGTAGACTATGAAATTTAGAGGAGCAAAGGAATAAAGCAGCAGAAGTGTGAACAGATTGGTTATAAAAACAATATTGCCTAAGATTTGTGTTCATGAAGCTAGGAAAGACTTTGGGCTTTTATTTACTCTGCTGATACTGTGGACTATGAATCAAAATGAATTATGCCTGTGAAAACTGTTGTATTAGAAATATGCTCTACATTTTCAGATATGATGGGGAAATAACTTTTGCTTTCCACTGATTCACAATATTGTTTTCCCTATAGTTTTAAGAAGTTCTTCCTGGCATTTAGGCTGGTACATACCAATGATAATTGCACAGCATTCACGTATCTGTGCCCAAGAACGTTATCCTACCTTGAAAACCATTAATGCTCTTTAGGTGTGAATGGAATATGGAATGAAACTATTTTTATCTAGAGCTTGCTGTGTATCACAACTTCTGGAAACTGAAATGAGAGAACTGAGTTACTTTAGCCAATCCCTTAAAGAAATTGGTAGTACCCTAGGCGTTTATAAAGCTGTCACCTGTAGAAAAGCCGCCCGGTGCTTAGAGCTCCATTGATGTATGTAGGGTTTTAGCTGTTAAGTGCATTTCAGAGTGAGGTGTTCAGCTCTTGGCAGGGAGGGGTGGTTTAGTGGTTTGAGCCACATGTTTGAAAACTAGTTTTCACACTTAATCGAACCTCTTAATCTTCGTTCCTTCTTTGCAGCCTGCTCAAAGGTGTTGTCAGGATGATTTAGTGTTTCAGAATGCTTTGGAGATTAGTGCTATGTGAAAAGTTTTACACAAGTACTCCAGACAAATAGCAAATACTTAACCTTTGTAAATTTAACATTCAAAATGTTTCAAAACATTCCCTGTTTTGGACAGGGAAGTGCTGCTATAAAGATTAAACCGAGTGTATTTTGCCATCTAATAAAGTAACATTCCCTCACCCATAGCCTTTCAAAACCTGTTGTTTTACTTGCTCTCTCTTATTTCCACAGGTTTGCCTGGAGGACTTCTGAATGGAAAGCTTGCCAAGTGTCTCTCCTCCTTGACCAGGAGGACCCTCGCCAGCACAAGCATGTAGGCCTTTGTGGAGGTGGCGTACAAACCCGGGAGGTCTACTGTGTCCAAATCACCGTGGAACTTGGGATGCACCAACTGAAGGAAGGTACGTGCGTAGGGTGGTTGTGAAATGTCTGGCCCAAGTAGATCAGAGTAAGAGAAACAGGGGGAAGAAAAAAGGTAGGTAACGTGCAATCATTAATAGGCTTCGGCTAGCTGATGCCCTCATTGTATCCATACTTCCACAGGGAGGTGTTACTCAGCATCCGAGGGCGCAGGAGGGCATGGTCCTCAGTGTCCTGAGGAAATGCCAGGAGCCACAGCCTTCTGGGGTGAATTGCTGCCAGTTCTGTAGGTTACTTGTGTGGGAGGGTTTCAAAGAATGAAGGAGCTAAATCTTGCTTGGGGTTGAGTTTTCTTCCTCTCTCGTATATCAGGTGGCCCAGCCCCTTGGTAGCTGAATACATTTATCTGTGGTTTAGAGTATAAAAAAAGATGTCACTCTCCATTGTGGATATAGCTTTAGCCTCTGCTTCAGATTGATGCACAATCTTTCTTGTGATTTGAAGGGGAAAGCAAAAATAATATTGTCACAACTTCTGAGCAGACAGACGGTTTTTGGACTCTGGAAGTGAGTTATATTTCTTTTAGAGGAATAATGAGTAGATACAGATGCTTGATGAATAATTCATATTAGGCTGTATTATTTACTCTGGGTAGCGCTCTTGCAGAATATGGTTTTGAGCAGAGATGTAAGATAATAAGAACACAGTATCATATCTTAGATTTATTTACTTACAAAGGCAAAGCAAATGTTTCCTGGATGCCCAGTGTGTCCTAGCATCCCACACAGACTCTGAGATTATAGAAAACCAGACCTGTTTTAATCTCTACTCAGTCCATGCAGTTGCTGCTTCACCTCTCCCAAACATCTGGCATGACCTTGCTCTCTCAACAGAACCCCACCTCTGTTGTTCCGCACAAGTGTGCGATGCACGTGACTTTTAAATTAAGAAAAGTGCTGTTGATGAGAGGTGTGTAACATTTCTTGACTGTCTTCATCCTTCTCACTGCTTCTGTGGTCCATGCAGCCACTGTACGGCAAGCTGATGAGCAGCAAGCTTTAACTGACTTCATTCACACTTCCTTATTCTTTTTCAGTGTTGTGAATTACTCAAGAAGATTAGAGGAGTGCATCTGAAACACTTACACCAACATAATTCGTAACAGAATTGGTGCTATATATCCAGTGTGTGATCACCTGCAGTTTTTTCCCTTGTTCAAAGTTCAGTTCAACTTAAAAATTGCAAGCCCTCCCCTCAACAAAAAGGAAACACTCGGATACCTCTTCCTTGTTTTTACAGTTCTAACCCTTTCTTTAAAAAAAAAAAAAATCATATAGGCTACTAAAAAAACCAAATGTACAGAGCAATTGTACAGGGTATGAATTACTACCTCAGTTTCAAGGCAGTAGAGCAGATTTTCAGTAGTCCTTAGAAAGTGAGAACCCCATCTACTGTCAACATAATCGCATGCAAATAGAAAGAAGGAAAGCTTTCCCTATTATTCCTCCCTATCCAGTAATAGTCACTGTATCTCATTTACTAGCTGATCAATTTTTGTTCTTTGAATAAATAAGGACTGACATCTTTTCTGGCCTCTTTTCTGGCAATCTGAACTGATAGAATACTTTTATTCATCACTAGGGCATCTCATATTTTATTGTACCATTTTTTTCAGTGATGGGGGAGAAGATGAGGAAGTTAATCCTTCTATGTATAAGCAAATACAGATTCTAATTGCTACTATCAGAAGTACAGTAATTTTTCTTTCTTCACCTCTTGAGTGTCCTTAAAGGGATCATTCAGGAATCAAACAAGCGAGTCTAATAGGATATTACCATCCATCACAGTTGTTATTCTTCTGGTTACTTCCAATGAGAATTTGGACCTAGGCCCAATAACATATGTGAAAGAAGATTTTTGTCCTGTGGTCTCTCCAGCAGCATTCTTGGATAAAATATGTTGAATCCTAGTTGGAGACAGGTACCATCTGTGATATATTTATACATATTGCTCAAAGCTCTTTTATCCCCCAAGGATATCTCTCCCATTTTTCATTTGCTTAGTCTTCCCATCTATTTCTTCTTTTATTAAAATGTGTATATTTAGAAAGGGAGTCCCTGTTTTCTTGAGTCCCTACATATCAGTTATTCAGAAGGTTAAGTCTGCTGAAATCTTTCTATATTTTGATTATAAAATTCCAACTTGAACATAGTGGAAATGGAAAACTTTCACTCAGGTATTACTTTCAGAAATGGATTGATAAGATTTGATATCTTTCTCTGCCAAGAGGTGACCTAACTAAGAAATCCCTATCTTGATCCAACTGAAGTTATATATTTTTTAGGCCTTAAGGAGGAAGTCCATACTTTTAATGTCGGTGATGAGTATTTGGAGTCAGAAGGTCTTCCAATCTTTGAAGTCCTTTGTAATGTTCTTGCATTCTGAGACTCCTATATCTAGATGAAGCTGGCAGGGAACCCTTGGTAAATGTGTAAAGTGTTGTGTCATTCAGGTATCTGTATTTGTGTGTATGTAGGTAAGCCAATGTATAGGCACCTATGTTAAGAGACTGTGCTATTTTTAGCGTTAGCTATTCTCTCTGAGAAATCTACATCTCTACTCAGTTGTGAGACTTTTGTTAATTTACACTAAACTTCAACGTAATTAACTTTAAACAGATCCTTGTGTTTTTTCTTTAAGCATCTCATTGAATTTTAACACATTTAAATTTATAATGCTTAATTTTCACAGAGAGGTGGTCATCTAATACTTGTTTTGATATCCAGATAGCACCAAATCTACATGTTTGAAATGATGTTGCTTTTAAGGAGGAGACAAATTCTGCACAAAAAGTAGCATAGAATATGCAAGTGAGCTACCTATGGTACAGCTCCAATGTGCCCTTTCTGCCCTTCATCTCTGGATACTCCCTGATCCCTGTTCCTGGATGTCCTGTGTCTGGAGCAAACTGTAGAAGTGGTGGTGCTTACCCATCTTTGTACCTCTTTTTTAATGTATATCTGTTCACTCGTATGGAAATCTTTTAAATAAAGCAGAAATGCAGATCCTCAACTGGCTTTTCTGGATTGAGAGAAGATTTTTGTGACTGTTGATTTTATAAAATGTTATCTGAAATGTGTTTTCCCACAATAAATTTTAATTAATCTTGGTGAACGTCACTAACTATCAATCCCCAGTGTACCAAAAAAAAGGCATTTGGTAAAAGTATGGAAGAATATTATGCAATGATCAGTTTATGAAAAGTCTCTCCTTGTTTGGCAATACAGCTCTCCTCTCACTCACAATAAATAAGTCCAATAATATGTGAATTAAAATTCCTCTTAGAGTCTGGGGATGGTGTCTGTGTTTATGTTCAAACAGTTAATAAACTTACGAGGCGCTTACATTTAATAATCTTCCTCAGGACTTTTTTACCTTCTTTCCTGAAGGCCAGGGTGTATCCTTCTGTTTTCTAATTAAATCTTGCTTTTTGGATTTATCTAGAGACTATAGCTCTTTATCAATAGTCTGGGGATGCCATCCCTTATAAAAGTCTCCAGAAGCATTTCCTCTCTTCTCTGAACTAATTACCTCCTATCCCTGGTGACTGGGATTCCTGTTCTCTCCATATTTTCTGTAACTTTCTAACTAAGGATCTGCCTACCCTGTCATTCTTTCATAAAATTTGAGCCTTACATATCTTGACGTTTTTTCTTTTTTACTTGTTTGAATGAGATCCGATTTACCTCTCACTTTCAGAAATTTCTTATAATGTTTTTTGGAGCCTGTCTGCTTAAGTTTTAATTATAGGACTGAAAAGACCTTTGTGAAATGCTGTTTTTCTTTGCATCTTCTTCATTGTTTACCCAGCATACTAAACTTGGCTAATAAAATGTATCTCTTATTACCATCTCACCAGCAAATCATTGCAGTTTTGTATCTTCTTAATTTCTGTTATTTTTCTACCTGAAAATCCACATTAAGTTCTCATACCTGTACAAGTTTCTAAGGTTTTGTTTACAATTTTTTTTGCTTAATGAGCGTCTCTGTCATATTTATCTCCATATATTTATTTTTATTTGATCTTGGATTTCAATAGCAGGTGTGTGAGGTAGTTGTGCCTTCATTACTCTTAGGTATCTTCTAGTGCTACCCTGCAAAACTATTTCTTACAGAAGTCTTTATTACTTTTATACCCCTCTTTCCTTTGAGAGATATTCAACCCTCACCTGTTAGTAAACATGATTTCTTGACTTGCTTATTCCACTGTCGTTCACCAGCCTATACCCATTTTTGCTTTATTTTTACGATGCAGTTCCACCTGGTTCATCTTACATCAGATTTTTTTAAAAAACTTGCATGTCACCAGCTGTAGCAGCAAAAACTCCTTTAGTCTGTTTACAATTCAGGACTTTGTAAATACTCAAGTACCTTTTCAGGTCTAATGGTTACTTTCTGATCCATCCCTATGTGTATTCCCTTATGTATTTTTGTCTTACAAGCCACTTCACTGACAGAATCCCCAAATTGTCTGAAAGTGAAAGTGTTCCCCTGCACTTTCATCTAAGTCCTACTTATACAAGTCTCAAAATAATAATTTTACGGCCTTAAGCCTTTCTTGTTTTCCACAAAATATTGAGCTTTCCCCCTACTTCTGAGAGACAAAAATGTCTAATCCTTTCTTATCTGATGAGTGAACTTTTCAGACTATTCTTACTTCCCATATGGGAGATGTTTTGGCACTGTATTTTACTTTCCAGAAATTAGTGCCTCTTTGGAGTTGCACAGAGATGAATTTGAGGACTCCTTTCATTCATATCTTGTATTATTCTATATTTATTCTCATCCCTTTCTTTTTGCCCTTTTGTCTTTTTTAGCTCTAAAATATGTGAGTTTGCTGCCTTTGTTCTCTATGCTCTGTTTCCTAATGAGGGTGCCACATTTTTTTCCCTGCAAGTTCTTTGTTCTGCTCTGAATCATGATCTTCCAGTGCGTGTCTTCTGGGGGATTAGTGTTTCAAATTGGTATGTGGCATCTGTTC